CGTGTATCGCCGCTCGTTAACGAGGTCCATCGAAGACAACCAGAGCCCACTTCCGGTCTCCTTGCCTCTTCCTCGGACAAACTTCTGCTGATCTTTTTTAGGCAAGCCTTCCACGTTGAAAGGAAGAAAAGTTCCTCGGCTTTCTAATGCACCGATAAGAGAGTACTGTGTCGTCCGCCAATTCTGCTTCCTCTTTTGTACAAGTTTCGCTACGTTCTTTTCGCTCGGATGAAAATCAGTACCGTCGGAGGTAGCCAGAGTTTGAAATATACATTCGTACGAGTAATAACAGAAATGGCTTGTTTGAAATGAAAATGCAGAATCTCGTACAGAAATATAAATCCTATTGTTTCAATACAAATTTTATTGAACAGAATGAATACTGGCGTCGTGGAAACATTCGTACAAGGGCTGGTATCTTTCTTTCCCTCTTTTGAGGGTGTTTTTCTGCTTCCCCTCCGAGGATATTATCACCCCTCCGATCAGCCTATAGGGAAAGGGCCACACCTTTCGCAGACGTAGCTTCCGCGGCTTAACGACCGTCCTTATGTACACGTAGGGACGCTTTCACACCTTAGTTCCTTAATACGAATCGATATCCTTCGTTTTCTTTTCCACGATCTAAAATTATTCTATCCTCTTGATCCGGTATTAACGAAAACAGGGTCGTTCCGCGGGGTAAAGTTATTTTTAATTCCCTTCCCAGTGGTCGAGGGAAAAATAAAAAGACGCGGAGGGATCCGATCGGGGAAACCCGGATAACAAATAGAGCGGCGTAAAACGTGCTTAATACGGACGATGTACCCGACGCAACGTCTATGACCTCCTCCCTCTGTTTCTCGTTCCTATCGAGGGCTGTTTAAAAAGGTGTACGGTCTTCCTATCGTTTACTCTCTGCGCTATTAAATTCACCCAATGCTTAATTTTCCGTACGGCAATATTGATAAAAAAAAAAACGCGGTCTGTTCTGTATTTTAATTTATACAGTCAAGACGCCTGGCTAGAATTTCACAGCGGCATTTAAATGAGATTGAATCACTTTTTCAATATGAAGTTTTGAAGACGAAACGATATCTGAACTCTGAGCTCACATTTTTTAATAATGGTTATGTATAATCGATAAGGTATGACGTTCAAACGAAATAATTGATTGAATGCTGTTTTATCAGTCAAATATTGAAACGGCGCAGCGTGCTCGTGTCAGTCCTCGATATCGTGACACATGCGAATGTCGTTTCGTGATAATCGATTCGCGAAGCTAAGGGTATTAATGTTGGAAATTGTGTGACAACCAAACCAAACTAGGACACTCGCGATATACAGCGTGTCCCAGAAAAAGTGTTACAGCCGAAGAGAAGTTATTCTGTAAGTATTTCTGAACAATAATTTCCTTTGCCAAAATACAAAGTGAGGCACAGTTTTTAAATCATTAACGAAAAACATTGACCAATGAGAGCACGCGTAGGGCCCGCGCTGACCAACGGCCGAGTGTCACAGTCCGAGCTTCTACTCCCGTGGCTGAGCGCGGGTTCTACACGTAATTGGTCAGTGTTTTTTGTTAATAATTCAAAAACCATCCTTCACTTTGCATTTTACTAAAGGAAATTGTTGTTCAGAATCATCCCACTCTAACGCTTTTTCTGAGACATCCTGTATGTGTACGAAGTACCTTCGACGATCTCGTCATGCGAGAAAACGATTAAAAGATCTACACGAACGAGGCCGAACTACGGTTTCCACGGTTCCGTTCTAACGTGAAAATTCTGCAGGTATCAAATGAAAAGGGAACTGCGTAGACCCTTGCAAGGCATTCGAACGGCATATTCTCGTCGGGGTAAATATTTTATGGTCGCGTGTTCGCGTCGGCGAAGATCGGGCAGGATAATATCGCGCGGCCTGTCCGCGTCGTTTGCACGCATCGATTTTCTTGCCTATCTTCATAGCCGGCGAGTTCTTCGATAAACTTTTCGCTCTTTTTTCCACCCGACAGAGGTTTAATCTTTGCCGAGACAGACATCGGACCGCTCCCGCCGGAAACTAACTCCCTTTCTTCTTTTCATACAATTTTCTGATGCCGAACGAGCCTCTCTGTATGAGAAATCACTGTTTCGTCGGGATTCCGAGCAATCACCGAGCAGGTTGAACGTGTGAGAGGTCGTGATATAACGTAGAACACGAGAAGTGCATGCGTTCCTTTTCTATCGTGCAGAATCACGAAGATCGCTTGAATTATGGAACAAGCTTCATTTCTAATTTTGTCGTTTTGTAATGAACGTTTAAGATCCAAAGTACCGGAGCCGGTTTGCTCTTCGAGGTCTTCCGACTCGGCGTGATACTCCATCGTCTTTTATTTAATCCTGTATTTATCAATTTTCTATTGTTTGTTATCTATCTTGGAATCTTTGCCAGTTCGAATTCGACGGGACGCGTGAATTGACTCATTTAAAATCCAAGGCAGCTTTCTCGATCCAGAATCCACTGCGTTTATCCAATGTTTACAGTGAAACACGAGTATCAAATTGTACCGAGCATCTGGCTCCATATTTTATCAGCAAACAAGCTCCCGGTGTATCGTTTCTAGTAACAAAGTGACTCGTGTCGCACTCTTCCATCGACAAGTGTCCCAGTGGCGAAACGCGTGGTACGCGTCGTCGAGGTATCCGGTTAAAAATAAACTGTACTTCTTCGGTGAGGAAGAACAGCTGAAAGGGCCCGGAAAAGTTTACCCTCTAGGGGATTCCTTGCTCTCCCGTTCCGATCTAAACACACAGCTTGATCCCTTCTTCATCAGTACATTCATTATTCCCCATTTTTTATTTATTGTCTTTCTGACTAATATGTATGTTTGAGTCTAGTCACGTTGATTATAGATTGACTCCTGATTCAAGTTATTCATGTTAAATAAAATTCGATTCATCCATTTATCAGAGCTCTTCGGTACTTGAAGCAACAGGTCGTCTTTTTTTTCAATTATTCTCAAGAAAGAAGAAGTATTGAAACACTTAAGTTGGTCGATTGGCTGACACGGCGTTTTTTGGACTTGAGTCATGCCGAGACGATATTAGGAACAGCAGGGCAATCAATTTGACGGTTTCTAGAAATCGGGTTAAGCGTTCAATGAATGGAACAACGAGATCGTTGAATAATTAGCTCCCGCGTAAGTATTACTGCGAGAGAGAACATTAATTAGGCCGGATATCCTTTCGTGGTTAATTATCGCGATTTATCTTCTATGAAAAGGAACCGGGAACTCTATCGTGGCACTCGGCTTTTCTAAAAAATTATGCCTCCGAAAAGTTTTATAGAATTGAAAACTCGAAGAGGAAAGGAGGAGTAGAACGAGTTTCATGTGAATGGGAGTCGACGGTTTAATAATAATCTTCGCTGCTCGTTCGAGTTGTTAATTAAAAACTTGCGAACGTGATTAGTATTATACAGGAGAATATTATGAGAGAAGAGCTGTTTGTGTTTTATTAATACAAGCAATAATACTTTTCGTGCGAAGTCTACAGGATATATTAATAATAATAATAATAATAATAATAATAATAATAATAATAATAATAATAATATTTTATTTCACGGACAAAGCCCATTATAACATACAATAGAAAGAATACAGTAATGATTTTATTCCATATCATTATTTTAAATCTCTTTCAAAACTGCAGGGATATTTTGACATCGAGTTAAAATTGTAATTAAAAGAAAACGATTGTTGCAAAACGAAGTATTAAACGGGGAGCAGCAGGCGTGAGCTCGAAATGAAAACCGAATCGGTCGATTTCTCTGTTCGCGTCCGGGTTCAAAGTTTCCCTGGTCGCAATTAAGAGGCGTGACAGCGTTTTTCCGGAAGCGCGTCTGATCCCGGATTAAGGTCGGAGGTGATGCGTTCCGGTCGGAACTCGTGCAACCGTCGCCGTGAGACACGCGCAGACATGGAAATACATATTATTCCAACAGTTCTCGTTTTCATTTTTCATCGCCGAATGAAAACTGTACGCCCCGTGACTTTTCCCCTTTTGTTTCTACTTTTTTCCGCTGCTTCGCGACTTGCGATCGCGATTCCCAGCACGACTGAACGTCGTGGGAAATTGCTTTTTTACTTTGAACTTTTCCTCTTTCCAAACGTGAACGTTGAATTCCAGTCAACGATGATTTAATTCGGTAGAGCAAGCCAAGAGTAATTAGACTGTAAATTTACAAAACTTTTCTGTCGACGTTAAAATTGCGATGACACTATTTCGTATTTTCAATTAAATATCCTCCGTAACAAAGAGGATAGTAATTAATTAAATGGAGATATCGGATCGAGCGTTTTCGATTCTCGAGATTCCGTGGAACGAGTTACCAAATCCGTGGTACGGGAAATACCGCAGAACGGAATTGCAGTAGAGATTCGCCTGGGAAGTGTACGTGCGTCGGTTGGTAAACTGTTTTGCTGCGACTGGTGACGTTTTGTTAGCTAATGCAATTTCAAGAAGGAAACCCACTTAAGAAAGAACATTTATATAAACTGCCTGAAGGTTCAGGGATCTTGTAACTCGGTTAGAAAGCTGGAGCGCAGGGCTTCATTTTTCTGAGTTCCCCGTGAGATAGAGAACGTGTTTTAAATTGACAGATCGCTTTCTATTTCGATCCTCGTTACTTCTAAGTCAGTAGCTATTCTCGTTGAGACATAGGGGTTCGGTAAACGCTGCGCGGAAGGGTCACTGGTGACCTTCCGTCTCGGTATCCACCCTCGGAAAGTTCGTTTATCCAGATAGGAAAGGTGAGACGCATTCTATGAGACTTCCTCCAAACTTTGCCCAAGAACTCTCGCAATTATTCCATTCCGTCTTCCTTCGATCATCATATCAGGTCGTTGCATATTAAAAGTTTTGTTTTGTAAAATTGAAAATCCTCCTCTCTAGACTTCTCGTATTCTCGTTATCTCTCGTTCGATTTATGTAAGAGCGAGGAAGCCATGGCGGTGCTGACCCGTACGTTTCTGTCTCCAGCAACTGAAAGATGAGCTCGGCGAGGTGGTGGCCGAGATGGAGGCGATGGAGGGCGGCGGCCTCGCGACGGACGAGACCAAGCCCTCGAACAAGGCCAAGCAGACGTCGATCGGCCGCAAGAAGTTCAACATGGACCCGAAAAAGGGCATCGAGTACCTGATCGAGCACAACCTGCTGGCAGCAACGCCGGAGGACGTCGCCCAGTTTCTTTACAAAGGCGAAGGTTTGAACAAGACGGCGATCGGCGACTACCTCGGCGAGAGGCACGACTTCAACGAGAGGGTGCTCAGGGCGTTCGTCGAGCTGCACGACTTCACGGACCTGATCCTCGTCCAAGCCCTGAGACAGTTCCTGTGGTCGTTTAGGCTGCCCGGCGAGGCGCAAAAGATCGACCGGATGATGGAGTGCTTCGCTCAGAGGTACTGCCAGCTGAACCCGAACATCTTCACTAACACGGACACCTGTTACGTGCTCAGCTTCGCCATCATCATGTTGAACACGTCCCTGCACAATCCCAGCGTTAAGGACAAGCCCAGCGTCGAGCAGTTCATATCCATGAACCGCGGCATCAACAACGGCGGCGATTTGCCTCGGGAACTACTCGTGGTGAGTAATCGAACCGGGTCCAATGATATTTTAATTATAATCGTCGAACCATGGATTTGATAGACCGTAGAATTATATTTGTTAGCGCAATGCAACGGAGAGATTCGTTTTTCTAAAGTAAAGCCGTGCAGTCACGCGTATTAATAGAATACCGTTCGTGCATCAATCGTAGAGCTTATTGCGATTGCTGGTATCGATTTCGAAACCGAGCCCCGGCGAATGCAATAAATAATACATCGCGTAATTCACGTCCACTCTCGATAGCGATTGTGCCGTGTTGCACGCGTGTCTCCGACCAGGATATAAAGTAATTGGCGCGCTTTACAAGTCACGGTTATTAGAGTGGACCCGCGGGCTTAACGTGGAAGTCCGTTGCAATGATTTCTTAACGACAGATTCCCGCGATGGAACGGCAAGATATTTTCCTAAGCACCTTGGATAACGCTTGAAAAAATCCGCTCGTGATAAGAGGAAAAGTAAATTTATCGATGCGTTTATCTGAGAAAATTCTTCACTTCCTTGTGTGCTTTTCTAGTCTTCTAAATTAGATCTGTATAAGTAACGACTCAAAGGTAATCGATAGACTGCGGATTTTGTAACACATGGATGTACAGATGATCGAGTGATTGTGTCGATTAAAATCGGGGGTCGAAACGAATTTTTGCAGAGTTTATACGAAAGTATAAAGACGGAGCCGTTCAAGATACCGGAGGACGACGGGAATGACCTGATGCACACGTTCTTCAATCCGGACAAGGAGGGCTGGCTGTGGAAACAAGGTAATCTTTCCGAGACTGTCTAAAAAGTACGAGTCTTTTCTCTCTTCTCTCTTGACCTGGTATGATCCGAAATGAGATAACTTCTCTTCGTCCGTATGGCTGAGAGAAAGAATGCCGTCGATCGAAAAGAACTATGTTGCCCGGTTTGCATGCGAATCGGGGGTGCATGAGGATGTTAACCCTTTACAGCGGCGTATTCTCTCTCTCTCTTTTTATTTGCGACCGGAAGAATGCCTACTTTTTATTCGGTATGGAAATGAATGGAAGTTGTCGATAGTTTCATTGAAAGTGGTAACATAGTACGTATGGAAGTAATTCGTCGTTAGAAAGTAACTCGTTTCCTTTACGTAAGTAAGTAGAATTCTCCTGCCCTCTTCTGTGTAGTGCTTGTGGTCTGAGTAAAGTTACACTTTTTTTTTTAATTAACGCCTAGACAGTCCACAGGCGTGTATCTTTATACTTTGCTTGAATTTTATTGAAAATCTTGCTCTTCCACCGTATCGCTGCTAGAGCCAGAAGCTGAGCACCAAAGATTGTATCTTTCGATTTACACTCTGAATTGCTTTTACATTGTCACTTGAATCACGTCGCGCCCACCCATGGCGTGTAAAGCGATCCGTGATATGCGGGTGCATATTCGCTTCTAAGATAGAGCAAACTACGTGCTCGGTTAAACCGTTGCCAGAATCGATCGTTAGCATCGACGATGAAAAGTCCATCATCGAACAATCCAATCTCCATGATCTTCGTTAAACCGAAAGCGGGTGAGACGATAAGTCGGCGTTATAAAGGGTTACAGGGACGAGTGAGAACATCCTGGAGCAAGGTTTCCCAAACTGTTTGACCACCGGTTACGAACGCCTCGGATGGTTCGAATATTTTCAGCGTTATGTTCATGCGTTCCAAGGATATCTCGGTTCAAACTGGAACGTGACAATCGGTAGTTTCCGAGAAAAGAATTAGGCGGCGTATTGTATAAAGCTTGGGAAATCGTTGCTTCTCGAAATTGACGTATTCCTCCGGCGTAGAACGAGAATTAGAAGGAACCGTGATCTTGTTTTCTTATATCGTATCGCTTTGTCCCTCTGCTGCCCTGACGGAGACAGCAGGTAAATAACGCAGTCGGTGTCGCGGCTCGATCGTTGGATTTTAATTCGACCCGTCGGGTGGTTGTTCCAGGCGGACGTTACAAGAGCTGGAAGAGACGATGGTTCATATTGAACGACAACTGTCTCTACTACTTCGAGTACACGACCGACAAGGAACCACGAGGCATCATCCCATTGGAAAACATTCAGGTCAGGGAGGTGCAGGATCGGCACAAGCCGCATTGCTTCGAGCTGTACGCTGCCGGGTCCGAGTTCATCAAGGCGTGTAAGACGGACAGCGAGGGAAAAGTTGTCGAAGGTACTTTAACTTGATCCGAAGTCGATCCTAACTACCACCGTGTAATTAACAAACTCGCGTAGAAACTTTCCCGAGGAAACTGTTTTAAATAATCAAATATTAAGTAATCATGATGGATCGATAAAATAATTCGTTATTGAAGAAAATATTGGTAACCGAGAAAAAGAGAATTATAAGCGAGTTTCTCACGCAATGGTTCACGAATCTCGTGCGTGTCGTGTTGCCATTTAACTCGTGAACCTTTCCCGTAATTACTTGGCTATTGTAACTGTTATTGTGGCCTGGCTTTTGCAGGGAAGCACACTGTGTACAGAATGTCGGCGGCGACGGACGAGGAGAAGGAAGAATGGATTAAATGCGTACGGTAAGTCGTTATTCATTCTGCGTGTATTTCAAAGAGACTCGAAGGTGTTGCTTCTCGCCTATTTAACGCGGTCGCGGGTCCCTTTTCCGCTGGGAACTTTCCGTACAGTGAATTCATGAACGGTTTCAGACTGAATTCCTTATTACGCGAAGGGTTTATGTCATAAGTCATGCATTGTAATGAAGGACTTAAATGAGAGAAGGTCCACGATCCATGATTTCTTTTTATGGATAATTGTAGTTACTTTTAAATGCAATTTTATCGCCAGAACTTCTAGGTTGCTTTTTCTCATACAATATCTATATTTTATTCATATTTATTTTGATTGCAGTCAAAGCATATCGCACAATCCCTTCTACGACATGCTCGCGGCCAGGAAGAAGAAAGCGCAAAAGACGAATGTACATTCGAAGAGTTAAACGTTGCCGCGAAGACGGCTTCGAAAGCCTTGGCGAGACACAAGACTGTCCATTCACGAACCAGTCTCGGGATCGTGGAGTACAATCAAACGATGTCCATCCACGGAAAATTTATCCGACAATGTACGACGGGATGGATCGACGCCGATCGTAACAGAAGAAACAAAGGATGCAGTTGGCCGATAATCGTTATGTTTCGTGTTTAAGCCTTAGGAGCTTAGATACGTGTTATTTAATTCTATGATTTCCCCGAGAGACGAACGAAAGACCGTTCGAAGTTAGGAAAATTATCGACGGTTGTGACGACGAATGCTAACCCAGTACAAACTGCAGTGGTTGCGTTTCGTTCCTTAAACGGGGAAATTTGATAAAGGAATATTAAGAAAAAATATGTGACTCGTGTAAACGTACCAACGACGAAATAGGGAAATATTAGTTTCGTCCAGCACGAAGGAGAGACAGTTTCGGAAAGAGTGAAATCTTTCTTAATTTCTGGTAGCTGTAGAGCAGCCCGATCCAGGGCGAGATGTTAATTTATTTTCCAAGGATGTCCTTCCTGCGTTTCGCGTTCTTTTCAAGAGTACGAGGTAACGAACGTACGTCTTCTGTTCGAAGTGTAGCAAGACAAAGACTCTAGCCGATCATAAACTGACATTAAACGCGAGAACGAGAACTCGCAAGACGCGTGTATTAATGTGATAGCCGTGTATTTATTTGAGAGAAAGAAGAAGATTGAAATGTGTATAGATAAGATTAGCTGAGAAAAACGTATCCTCGATATTATATGTCAGAACGATCTTAAGCTGTACATTATCGTACGGTTTGTAAATATATGTATAAGTAGCCAATTACGTAGACCGATTATCGTTTTTCTTTTTTTGAATATATATAAATATTTAACATAAATATATATATATACATATTACGCATGAAGCGTACAGCTTTGTGCATTATATACGCAATACTTTAGCTCCGATAGCGCAGAGAACTCGATAAGACGCAGTTGAACGCCTGCATCGCGATTGTAATAAAATGACGCGTACATAAACGCTGAAATTCGAGAATGATCTCCGAATATTTTTTGATCATACGTTCAAGCTAACGAAACTATTCCACGCTCCGAGTAAACAACGATGCAAGGCTACCCGTTCTTTCGTTCTCGTGAGTATTTAAAACGTTTTGAAAAGTTTTTTCAATTCCATTTGATAATGATCTATTTGGATAAACGTAGCGTTTTTTATATTTCGAATCGTATCGATCACCGCCAATCCCTTCTACTATCATAGGATATTTGAAATTTGTTAACGTTCCTCCGTGTTCCGATATACCAACCGTTATACTCGCTACGATTTCTCTATTTCTATTCTAAGAAATCGATCCGTCTTCGTATCGCAATCCTTAGATTTAGATCGTTCACAAATCGCGTCTCGTTCTCGTTGCGAATAATAGAATAAACAGAGGAGCATAAAAAATGAATGGAAGGCAAAAATGTGGGTGCCTTTGAAATGTTCAAGCTAGTCGTAACATCCGATCCGTCGCGTAAAGGGTGTGTGTAAAAAAAGTAAAGTGGAAACTCCGGGATTTAATTATCTGTGTACCGTTCGTTTTTCGCTACACGCGAGAAAGTCACATCGAAGAAGCCTTACTATTATACATTGAAATGACGAAGCGCAGAAATAATTATCATAGTATCAAGACTAATAGGGCATAAGTTTTTTAAATGTCATGCTATACTGTATTCATCGTAGAGAATATAATTGTCTCGCGAAACAGTGATTCGTACCCGGTCGTAATTGTTTTGAGGAAGCACATCGTTTCTATTCATTCGATTTCGAATAGACGATTGTTTCACGGCTACCGCGAGCCGTCCTTGAATCTACTTTGTACAATCTACTTTAACTCTTTTTTTCTACTGCCCAGAAACCATACGCGAACAACTGGACACGTAATTGTCTGTAATAATTATGCAAGAATACCGACGGGCGTGTTTCCTTCCTTCCTTCCTTCGTTCCGTAGTAGCAATAGATGTAAAGAAAAGCTGGTCACTCGTGTTAGGCAGTTGTGTAAAATTAGTTTAAGGGGATGGCTTCGTTAATTCGTTCGCGTTCTATGTGTTAATGTTTCCTTCGAGAATTGTTTGTCGATCGATGTATGTGTATAAATATAATTTATATTTCCCAATGGGGATAAGATTAATTAATCATCTTTACTTTTACGACGAGTCGTAGTCGTTTAAAACACAGTGTAAAAATGTTGTAAAACAGCTTTAACGCTTGGTTTAAGGAATGTAATTAATAGACTGTATTAAATCTCGCGTAACTAGTAAAGTGATTAATTAGATCTGAAAATATTGTATAAAGAGTTGTACTTTACAGCGACCCATTTGTACATTTCGTTGTATATTATTTTCATTCGATAATTGTTATGTATTCATAATGATCTGTGTACTGCATCTACATTATATGTACTAATTTAAATCTAATTAATAAACAATTCCATTTCGTAAGAAAATTAGTAATGTCAGCCCGATTGCTTGCAAACTAGAACGAGCATAGTAAAAAGGTATTAATTGGATGACTTTGCATTTAGGAAATTACATAGACATAATTTCTGAATGCACAATCATCGATAGTTGCCCCCTTCCGAAAATGCATATAATACTCGGGCCTCGAATGAACGAACATGTGTTAACCTACCCGGTCCTACCTACTTACAAAGCGCTAACAACAAGAGGCTAACAGGCGTACCTGAAACCAATTACCTGCCTACCTGACCCTTCTATATTTAAGAAAGGCAAAGCAGACACTCCAACAGACGGCACGACGGTACGTGCGGGCTCTCATCCGCTCGGATTGCAAGAACCTGCGAAAGCCATCCCGGGACGACTTCTCATCCGAGTTTAACATACAAACAGATTCACACTTTCAAGTACATACGTACCGTTCACCTGTAATCGACTGATAAAAGTAGCTACTACATGTAGCATATACAATATAAAATTATTACCTCCCGAACATTTATAATAATTAAATACTGAGGATCACTATGCTCATCAGACAAGTATAAAATACAACCAGTCGCCCGTGCCGTTTCGGATCTTCGAAAGAGCATGATTGAGTGACTGGAGGAATTTAAAAGCACTTACTGTGATAAAAATGTTCATTGATGTTTCTACCAGCTAAAAGTTGAGGGATGCCAGAGACCAGCCACCAATCAGTCATCAAAGACGAATAAAGATGAGAACTGTAATAGACAAGAATAAAGGAACATTATGATTTATTCTTACATAGTTCTTTAGTAATCCTGACGCGAAAGTTATAAGCAATGTATCCCGGAAATCGGGAATGTTCAACTTGTGGTTAAATTAAACAAACGCCTTTGTTAAGCGGCACTAGTAGTGTACGAACAATACTTACACTTATGTGAAGTAATATCTGCAAAGAGCACAAAGCACTTGATGCTAGGACGTGTCACTATTCACACAACACGAGCAACACACAAATGGCAGGTAGCAGACGCTTGAAATCATACTTGAAGTAGTAGAATCACGTGGCCTCGGTCAGGTACGATGGCCTGTGTGCGCACGAACGAATGATGGCGATGGCTGTCACTGGGCTTGCCTAGCCACCGCGTCCGGAGAGAGGGTGGGGAACATTTGGCCAGCCGATACATAGGGTGGGGTGATCACGTTCATGCACTGTACTCAATATTACAATTGAATAAAAATTTCTAATTCGAAGATAGAGTAGATTGTTCGCGGTATCGCTTCAGAAATCATTTCATGTTGAAAGGATAATTTGATATAGACCGCTTAGATTTAGTAAAATTGCTTGCTGAACACCAAAAGAGAACATCTGATTGTAAAACAGTAATCATTACTGAATTCAATGTTATTTAGTCTTGTACTGGAAGTTCAACTGAATTATGCATATTTTATTTACAATTAAAAACGAGACATGATTATCGCGATTCAAGCTTCAACTTGTGGTGCCATCTCTTTCCCAAGTTCTTATCGTATATTATCGTACGTACGAGGAAAGTTGTGATAAACATTTATCCTAAGAAATTATTAACTAAATACAATGAACACTTTACGATTGGCCTGCCAACGAAATCTGTATCAACTTCGTCAGTTTCACAAATGGTACGGGCTAACAATTCGTAATTATGTAGTTAAACGAAACGTGGTCAAATAACCTGGTCTTGCCTACAGCGTCGAACCAATTAAACCAGATGATATATTTTTTAGTATTGTTCAACAACAAGAAGCAGCAGCTACTGCTGCAACTGCAACTATTAAGCCCTCGGTCTCTGAAACTGTTTCTACAAAGGAAGAAGCAGTGGCCAGTTCGAAAATAGAACAGATCGCTGATCAAATCGTTTCCTTAAATCTTATCGAGGTAGCACAATTAAGTGATCTATTGAAAAAGAGATTAAATTTGCCAGATGCACCTGTAATGCCAATGGGTGGTTTCGCTGCTGCACCACCAAAGGTACGAACATACATGTATTTTTTAAGTTACAGAGATAATCTAAATTTATTATAAGATATACACAAAATATTTTTCTTTCAGGAAGAAGAAGAGGAAGTACAAACAGTAGTACAAACGGCGTTCACTGTTAAGTTAACAGGATTTGATGAAAAAAAGAAAGTTGCCTTAATAAAAGAATTGAAGACTATACTGCCTAACTGTAATCTCGTACAGGTAATTTTTTCAATGTAAAAGATACTATCCGGTACATTCATTATCTACATTTGTTTTGTATAGGCTAAGAAGTTCGTCGAAAGTGCACCAGCTGTAATAAAGTCTGAGCTTACAAAAGAAGAAGCTGATCAATTAGTGGACGTTATCAAGAACGTTGGTGGCGAAGTTGAAGTTGTATAATGTTATGTAAATATATCATATTGAAAAATTTATGCTATAGACCTTAACAATATGTAATAAACTTAATTATCACAACCCTGTTTGAATATCCTATTTTCTATGTACGTATGTATTTTAAATGATCCAAGAAAGGTAATTAAGTCTGTAATATTTAAGTCATCTGTATATAAAGTCTATATGAAGGAATAATAAAGCAAAAAAAGAACTCTTTTTGTCTTATACCATGCCCTGACAAACTGGCAGTCGTATCTTTCTAACATGTGTAATTTATAAAGGTGCGTTGATAAGGCGATTTGTATTCAAATAATGCATATCATTTAATCACCGAATTGAATTATTGGTGCCGCGATAACAAGCGTATCGATAAAATAAGGGGCGTATCAATTAACAATTATTCTCGTTATCTTCGCCAGGATACTTAGTACACCGGCAAACCTACTTAACGTTTCGTTAAATTCGAGAAAGATCACATTTTCGGTACGACCGTTTATAGAGGATCTATTTCTATCCGAGGAGAGGGACCGACAAAAATTTTTTTTTACTAGCAAACGAAAAGCGCTTGCGACGCTACTGCGCCACGACGACTATTGCCAGACTATTGCCACGATGGCCGAGGAGGCTGACATAAACGATAAAGCGACGATGGAAAGTATAGCGCAAAACATACTCGAGGTTCGTGTCAGCTCTGATCAGGACAGTGCGTGATAACGTAATAGTGGCTTTCGATGTGCCGAAAGAATTTCGGGGCCTAACGACACCCTATTATTCCGGGCTTTTTCAATCGTTTTGACAGATCAGTGCCGGAGGAGGCGGGTCTGCGTCGAACGAGGTGGCCGCGTTGGAGTTCCAAGCCTCGCAGGTGATATCGAGGCTCGAGGAAGCCGTGGAGAGAGCGGCTGACGGTGGCGGTACCACCTGGAACAATCCGTCCGGGTTCCTGTCGCAGTCGAAAACCCCCGATGAGATACTAGCTCTAATCCAGGTAAATGCAATGCTAGCAGAAGCCATTAATCGGCAAAGATTGGTTATTTCCCTTCGACGCGGGTTTCGGTTGGCCCACGATCCCAAGATCCTCAGGATTAACTATCACGTGGTCTCAGGGTCGTTGCAAATGGGCTGAACAATAGTTACGATTTATAAAGTGGCGGTATCTTTTGAACCGTTCAAAGACGTATAATTAAACATGCGATAAATTTGTAAGGATTGTTCGATGTATGTTTATAAAATTGTAGGACTTGGTGATTCACGAAGACGCTCCGCAACCAGTCGAAGACGGTTCGACGGAGACCGCGACTAGTCAAGTGACTACTTTGCCAACGTTAACGGAGCCAGCAAAATTAGCATTGATCGCTTATACCGTTTCCGCTTTTGCGCTCGCCCTTCCGAAATCGCACGCTCAAAGATTAGCCGGTCGATTGGCGGCGGATACGACGCGATGGCTAAGTCATATTTTTCGTTTCGTCGATTGCGCATCATCCTTTCACGAGGACCATTTAGAAGGTTTGGTCAGAGTGACCAGGTTGGCCCTGCACAGGAAATATCCGCGATATATGGAAGACGGATTCACCGCGCTGGCGGCTTCTCCGCCTTTAATTTACAGCTCTGCTGCCGCACCTTTAGGCGTTGTCCAGCATTTATGCAGACAGGTAAAAAGAAACTGATACGGATCTATGATCCCTGAAATAGAGAGCTTATATATGTATACATTGCGATTATCTTTTAGCTATCTTTGCCGCTGCACTGCGTACGACCCATCCCCCATAATACAATGTTCGGATCGCGGTATAGCATGGATGTGTCGGCTTTAGAACGGAGACTGGCGGAAGACACGCAATCTAATAACGTGACGCCGCTTCTGGTACTGGCAGAAGCGGGGTCTGTGTTAACGGGACATTGTGATAACATCGCCAGGCTACGCGCAATTTGCGACAAATACAACGTCTGGCTCCACCTTAGAGGCCATTCCCTAGCCGCGTTGGCTTTGAACAACTCGGCGAAGGATTTGGTGGGTCTGCAATTATTTCATTCGTCTACGTAATAAGGATTTTAACGATCTTGGTTTTTAGCCTTCGAAAGTCGCGGACAGCGTTACGTTACCTCTTGGAATATGGCTCGGTATACCATCTTTACCAGTAGTCGTATCCTTTAAATAAATATTCCAACGTGTCTCGTTTCTCGGAGAAAATTTGCCTTAATACGTTCATAGACATTGTACAGATTAACAGACACGAAGGGCGGCCGGCCAACTCCGAGAGACACGACCTTGTCTTTGGTATCAGGTTTAATGACGGACTCGTTATCGAGACGTTTGCCGACTTTGCCGTTGTGGGCCACATTGCAAGCGTTAGGTAGAGACGGTGTACATAACAGATTGAAAAGGTGCTTCTTGTCCGTAGAAGAATTGTACAATAAAATCAAGAAGTTCTCTTGCATAAGGATATTGGTAATTACATTTGTAAATCTATCGATCGTTTTAAATCAAGAACTTCCAATTTACATTATTATGCTTTATCAAGAGTCAACCACCCGGAGGTGAGACAGGATCCTATACGATAAACGAACTCTTAACGAACCCAGTGAACAATCCGCAGCTGTTCGAAGCTGTGGCTAGCGCTCTAGTGTTCCAGTTCGTGCCTGCCGATAGAGACCCTCAAGCAACGGAACGCGTACCTCCTTACTACGATAAACTAAACTCCTGGCTAGGGCAAATTCTTCAAAGGGACATCGAAAACGTTCAGATAGAATTATGCGAAATAGAACACCACGGTATCGCTATTCGTATCTGTCCACTGGAAAACCCGGAACCCCCTCCGTCGACTGAGGATATAGATAATGTGGTCGCCTGCCTCGAACAGCAGATAGTGAGTATATTTTAACTACGTGTATAATTGACATGTATATTGTGTAGCATATGCGATAACCGATCGCTATCGTTTGTTCCAGGAAATACTACAAGCAACGGTTGAGCACAAGGTGACGTTCATAAAATTAGTCTCCGAGAACGATTCTTTGCATTTAGTGGAAATGCCTGGTTGGGCAGGCTTGGGCGGAGTGCGATACGCTCCCCCTACCTGGATCCACGTTATGACCGATCAGGCGAAAGAAGAATTAAACAGACTGAACACGCAATTGGTCGAAGCTCTGAGAAATACGGATGCGGCGTTTTCTTTGGGCGAAGGAGCCGACGGCTTGGCCTGCGTTCGATTCGGAATGGTCACGCAAGATACAGGTAAAATATATTCGTTCTGTGTATTATTTGTAGTATTCCTAAAACTAATTTACTTTCCAGACGTGGCCGAGTTACTGTCCTTAGTTTTACAAGTTGGTCAAGAGGTGGAGGCCAGCTCTAAACTATTGGACACTATATCTGAAGTAGTGAAACGAGGGATCGAAGCCGCGCAGACGGATTTGGAGAGGGAGAATGCCGAGAAGTTGTGGCAGGAAGGTATTCTTAGACACGTGCCTGTCGTTGGAAGTTTCGTCAATTGGTGGAGTCCTCCGTCGAAAGAAACCGGCGTTCGCGGACGTAGTTTAAATTTACAAGCCGGTAAGTGTTAACAAATCTTCCGATCTCTGTGTTTGAACTTTAACTCATGATCTGTCTAACGGTCTCTAGGTGTCGTCGAGAGCACGGAGAATATTTACAAGTATCACATGCAATTGCAACCCAATTCCACCGTGATCAACGGATCTGGTGCTCGAACTCCGCCACAGCCCCTTGTACAAACCCCGGTCGGCGCAAGTAGTCAGAGTCACAGTCGTTCGTCGAGTCATTCCAGTCTGCAAAGCGGCAAAAGTATTTCCGTGATCACGAACGCCGTTTCCCACCCACAAGTGAAGGAGGAATCCGGCGAGGTGAAGTCGTAGTGAACATTAAACAACGCCGTTGGTCGAGATACAAGATTCTTCAAGTCAACGATGGACTTGACAGAGGGACGAAGCTCCGTGTGAAACGATCACGTGTCTACGGTAAATGCTATCCTTTACATTCGCCGAGCACAGCAAAGAATTAGCATCCCTAAAGCGTACGTCGAAGAGCTTGATAATTCAACGAATGATAAAGGCACGCCAGCCTTTTCGGTCGGTCTTTCTGTACTCTATTATTTCCTCCCGGTTACCCGTTTTCTTTCACCGAACGATCTGATATCGGAAATACTTGCCGGATCTATCGCGCATGGCTTGTGTACTTATTAGACTGATAACGAGTAAGGACGAGTCGCATCAACGATAAGTTCCTTTGGTAACGAGTATTAACAAAGTATTTCCTTAATAGCACAATGAAACGGATCGCTTTACGACATCTAAAACATATTTTCGTTCAGCTTTTAGTTAGTCGGACGGACACGAACTATGCCGTAATTATAATGACCTAGACATGATAGATACGATTAAGTTTCAAGCGACAGTGTTTTACGACTTTATGTGCACATACGTTCTGAATAAATTTTTCAACCAGACTTACGTTATACTTACTCAGTGTTTACTTTCCAAAATACGCTACTACATCCATCGCGATCAACTGTATCTTTTTCTCATAAAGCACAACGTATATATTAAGGACCCGTACGATTGCTTAAAGAACGATTATCGTTAGGCACGCGTTGTAAACTCTGTTAAAGAGTATAAGCTTTCTTTCTAAAGATCCAACTGAACGCGTAAAAAATATAAATAACATTTCGACGTTTAAACGACAACCAAAGAGATTTATAGATTTACATTCGTGCGATTCTCGAACTATTACTGTGTAATATTTCCGACGGGATAGGAACTCTGTTTAAAACGAATACATAAAAAAATGTTTACAGTACTATAGCCTTCAGTGAATTGTTAATAAATACATTGAATGAAAAAAAAGAATTCAACTGTATGTATATTTATGTACCAAATTGTTGTAATAAAGTACTGCAATCGAATAAAAGAGTCGAGAATAAGAGTTTTTGGATATCTGAACGGCGTAAGAGTAAAAATGAAAACGAAATCGTCGTAACAAAAACAGCGGAGCCTATTACGATGGTGAACGGACACGATCGATCTTATATCTTGTTTTATTTCTCTTCTCATATTATTCATGTTACCATTACAATAGGAGGAATTAAGTCTGGAATATGGCAATTAGACGTAATTCGCAATGCACAAAAACGGTATAGATTAACGAGTCTCGTTTCGCTCTTTATATAATATGCCTCTCAATGAATTCTCTTTACAATACACGCTTTAAAATGTTTCCCTTTCATCTTTTCGCGCGTACAAAAACACCATAGAAATCTTAAACTTACGTAAAGTCTCGAATAGCCTCTGCACACTTTGTAAATGAACCTCTTTCGCACGCCGAGAGAGAAGAAATGCCAAAACAAATCAAATCCGCTTACCTTTTTTTGCGAATCAGCGTTCGAAGGCCCAAGGAGCGTAACCGCGTTCTCCTTAATCCAGCCGAAAACGAATAGACAGATGTTCGACCACCATTTCTCACAAGTGCTTCAACCTGGCTCACTCGTGACTTCATCAAATATCTTTTTAACGAATCGGTCTTCGACATTCGACACGCTTTATATAAATACCGGATTCCAGTTAAGTAGTATCACTCGATCAGATAATAAAGCTCACACGTAACTTGACATGTATCGCTGAAAATGAAACCGTGACTGCGAGCGAAAACGCGCGCGGACAATGAACCGCGTGAAATAGCACTGTTTGAGAATTGATGGCCGCGTTCACTGCGAAGTCGGTTCCGACAGTTTTTTTGATTTGCACTTGTTTCTTACTACAATATATCTAAGCTCTAAGCTTTACCGAGGAAATAAGGAAGTTTCCGTAGGCCAGAACAACGCACCAATTCCAAAATTTACGTCCTATCATCCGTAATTATATTACTACTATAAGTATTATCATATATATTAGCGTTTTCTGAAAATATTAATTATTCTCTCTCGCGGTCTCGTTCACACGCACACACGTACTCGCACACATATCGTTTCTTCTTTGTCTTCCTCTCTCTGTACTTCGTACGGATACCGTATCAAAAACGATGCGAAAATTAAATGCGGTTGTACTTATCGGAAAGTGTGGTTCGCAACTTCTCATCTCGCACAGGCTCCCGCTCGATGTATCATCAGTACGAATCGACAAACGATCAGAATCAGTATCATTCGTCCAGACCATGCATTCGTTCAACAATAATTCCATTTGCTCTTGAATCCGTGGATCGTTCTCCATCGGTGCTCCGTTTTCACGACAGATGTTCGGGAAAATAAACGTTGAAAAATACACTTTTGATTCTTTTCAACTCGTCGAATGCGTCCCAAATTGTTAAGATCCGTTCGCTTTTGTAAAGTTTTTCATAAATCCAGAGAATACTGTATTGATCCCGTTTACTCCAACGACAGAGACGAAAGTTCTTCAAGGTTTCTCCTTCCACTGTCCCTTCGCTTCCTTAATTAATACCGATTGAAAATTGAGCAGCGTGGGAAAAAATTTGGCAAGAAACTCTGTCGCGTGCAACAGCCGGACGAGGTTGAACGTGTGCGAAAAGAAAAACCTTCGTATTCATTTTTTTCATCATCTTCTATTGACTAGGATGTTTCTTCTCTCCTCATCGAGGAAACGAATTTCTATTTCCCGATTCGTTTCCGATCTCCGATTCGATCTTAAGATTATAGTCGGTTAACGGCTAGACCTATATCACTATACTCTACGCGCGCTATGATCGCTCCTTGTATTTTTTCACTTTAATAAATATTACAACTATGTACAATCGAATCAAACGTGTTTATACTTAATCGCCTTTCTTCTACCTATACCGTTCCCATACTCGTTATCGAACAGCGAGCAGACGATGTCTCGAGACAGCAATTATCAGGAATAAAATTGCTTGGCAATTTTCTTATCGAATACTGATCTCGTCAGTAAGAAGTGGTTCGTCTTATTTCAGATAATTGCTGGCTCGTATTCGTGAACTGTTATCATCGAAACATCGTTTTCGACGTGGAAACGTAAACGGATACGACGAAACGTCCGTTCTGCAACGGCGGCCCTTCGTTCCAGGAAGGACACCGTTGGTCTACGAAGAAATGACGAGAAACAAAAACAGTAGAACAGAACGATATTATCTCTGTGTAAAACTCGTAATATCTAAATTCAAGTTATATCACACGTACACCTCACCTCCTCGTATCTGTTCCTCACATTTACTCGACAAACTTACATCTATTATGTTTTACTGTATATTTACACATGTTCTCGGTGAATAGGATGCGGAATATAAAGCCATCCGCCAGTTCGTTGCAGATATTCTTCATTGATCTCGAACGACTTCGTTCCCGACGTTCGTTCCATCGATTTTTTTCTAGGAAGACTTTGCGCTCCGCAAATAATTCAATCTCGATCTCTTCGTTTTCTCCACTTATTCGGATATAAAATACCGATATTATACGAAAACTTTATTGCGGTCGATGAGAGTACCGACACTGTTACCATGAATATTTCGTTTTACTAAATGCAAATCTCTGTACTGTCTTTTGACGATCTCGTAAAAACAGCCTGACAGCTGACCGAATCACGAATCATCGAAATGCATTACGAACAGCGTACATATTCGATTCTAGAAATGTTTCTCCCATATAAAAAATGAAAAAACACCTGACGGTAGACAACGCTTGCGTTTTACCATGTTTGTACTTAAAAACGTATGCACGCCCGAGTAGTGGCAAAATTCTTCTTGTCTAGTTCATGTACGCTCTCATTCTTATTACTCACGGACGCTCGATGTCTCGCTACGAACTTTAAATATTAACGTTGATAAATATACATATATTTATATATCCATATATCACTCGTTCTGTATTTCGTGCGGTAACTTCTTATATCAACGTGTATATCTCTTGCAAACATTTAAAGTGTACTGGGAAATGGTTCATCGATCAAATCAACGATTGTAATTCGTCCCTCGCGATCCTCGATAAAACGTATAAAAAAAGTATATATAAAAATCGTGTCGTGGTGTTTGTATCTTTTGTAAAAAGACGTTCGAAAAATTTCATCCTTGTGGACTGTTACGATTGTTATCAATTCAGTCTAACGTAAAGAGAAAATATAGGCAAGCAAAAATGCAGCTCAGAAAGATTGTAAAGGAGACGATAGTAGGCCACGATAAAAAAAATGGACAGCGTTAATTCGATGAAACAGAAGTCGACGATTATTCGGCGCCTCGAACGAGGCCGGATTAAATCGTGTAACTTTGTATTCTTTTCGTAGGCGATTTATATATGCTAATATCTGAATATTTGTGCTTCTTCGTGTGACGTGTCTCGTTGAAAACGAATAACGAACGATAAATACGACAATGACGATTTCCTTCGTTCGCGAAATTACTCTTACTTACAGAATAAGCTAACGTAGAACGACGATAATCACTGTACATGATATACAAGTACGAAACTTTAGATATACAAGGCCTTTCAGGCCTAAGCGTTCCTCGAGTTGAAATGACAAGAAGAAGGATTACTGAATCTCAAAGATGCAACGAAGTGCTAATTCGATTATCCGTTGAAATTAATTATTACCTTTTCTCGTCGAATTTTCCTAACGTAGTATCCGTTTTTTTGCCCCCGTTTCTTCCAGCTCACATTACTCTCGCTGGCCTTCTCCGTTAGGTCGCCACCTTTGCTTGGATCATCGTCGAACCTCCAACACGTTGAAATGACGATTCGTTAAGTCGTCTTCGTTCGTGAAATTTTTCGAATATGTAGATGCACTCATCTTCTTTTTTTCGATTTCCCGAAATCGTGAAATCTTAAACGCGTATAAATGTGACCCGTGATTCTCTTATCAAAATTTACCAAACGATTGAGCCATTTTTTTCATCTCAAAGTGTGTTGCGTATAAAAAGAAGATTGCGCGTATTAAAACACGCGTCAAGTTAAAAAATGTAGAACGACTTTCCAAAAGGAGTCTCTTGAGAACAATGACATCGCGCTTTCACGTGATTCTCGTTACGTAGGTCTGTTTAATGTCGCGTCAGCGAACCCTCTTCAGTTTCTTTCACGCTCCTACTTCGGTCATTCGGAGTTCGATTACAGTTCTGTGACAGCGTATAGATTCGGATCGCTACCCTGCACCTGGCTGAGCGTAGACACCGTCGTTTTGTTCTCTTGTCTCGACTGCGCTCGATTATACGTCCCGTACATGTTCGGAACCGCGTTATTCTGTGTGCCGTTGAACTGGTTCCTAGTGAAATTCCTGTCCAACGTCCGCACCTGATCTTGCATCTGATCCTGGATACGTATGTTTGGCGCCTTGTTCCTTACCAGTGATCGGAACTGATTCATGTTCGTCTGCGAACGGGACTCGAACTCCCAGGTCGGCTGACTACTGGGATTCGGCGGCAACGGACGATTCTGGTTCCAAGCTTGCGTCGGACCCCGTTTCAGGTTTGCCAGGTTCTTCGGGTCGAGGGTTTGCGTCTTGCGAGAATCTTGGAAAGTGGCCAAATGAGCAGGTCCGTGAGAATTGTGAGACAGGGTACCGGTGAATGACGCCACGCTCGGTGTCCAAGGTGGTTCCCTACCTGTCGTTTCAACAACAAAACGGGTTTCGTCCAAATGGCAAGCTCGCAGACGTAAGATTTATCGAGTGAATCATGGAATGAAAATTACCGGGCCCTGCGGGGGCGTGCCCTCAGTAAAAATCGCTCGACTCGAGAGTTTTGCATTGCTTGCTCAGAGTCGCGTACTGGCCAGGTTGATCTCCGAGTCCAGAACGGTGCTCAGCTCGTCCACCTGTCGGTTGCTGATTATGCTGAGACGATTTGTGATCCCCGACTCCACCGCTCCCGTTAATTCCCCCACCTCTGTAAATGGTAAACCGAAACGAACAAAGTTGCAGCATTATCTTCCTTTCGGGAGGGTTCTTTGATTTTTTAATTCCTATCGAAACATTCGCCACGTCAAAGAATAGAATATCTAAACACGAAACGCTGAATTCGCGCAAGAAGCGTACTATCGCTAACACCGTTTCCACTGACAGAGAAAAGTATAAAGACGAACGGAACGAATACTCTTTCTTGCTTTGAAATATGAACTCGGTTTACTGTAAACAAACACCAAAGAGAAGATCGATCGATCGTACAGTTATTACCTCTCGAACAAATAGTCGTTAACCATGACTAATTTTATTTACTAGTCGAAACAATTTCGCCTTTCGGCTTCAAAGATCAATAACTGTACCCCGTAACGCTTGCGTTATTAACACCAGAGCGTTGGACACAATTAAAGCGACATTCAAACCGAACACAATATCTATTGACATCAACGAATCAGGTTGTAAACCGTGAAACTGAATTCATTCAACGCATCGATAAGTAAATAGAAGAATAGAAAACCAACAAACATGGTCTATACACAAAGCAAACTAGTAAACAATTGATGCAATATCTTTCTTCATCGCGAATCTCCGCTAATAATTTCATAATTCATTATTGCATTTTATGTTTGTCACATCGAGTCTTTGATTTTTCATGAAAAGGGGCCTGGGAAGTTAATAACTATCGAGTAATTGAAGTCTCTTCTCAAACTTCGTTAGAAAATTAGTTTGAGAAACCGTCGCGGTTATTGGTCGTCCAACTTTATCGTACCAAACGCTTGGTCGGTTCATTTTTAGCAGACCTTTGATCCCGAGTAATTATATTCCAGTCTCGTACGACAAAGATGGACGAGCAGCTAATAAATAAAAAGGAATAAAAAAATCTCATGCACAAACTTTAACATGCTCTCGTGCAGCTGACGTGCTCGAGCAGTGGCGGTAGCGTAGGACGGCGGGGGCGGCGTTAGCAAGAGAGGCTGCTTAATGATATTTTGAGTGCCATGAGCATTCGGATAAAATACAGAAGGGGCTGTAGGCGGGTACGACCCTTGGCCTCGAAGGGTCCGCGCTGCTATCGCCTGCGAGGCTGCCGATGGCGGTAGGTACGGATCCTGCTCGTCGACTTGATGGTAATCTCTTCTAGAACAAAGTCCTCGTTAATCATACACTCCGTTTCGCGCGACCACGCTTCCTCGCGCGTATTCCTCGCCGTGGACTCACCGCTTTCGTATGTAGATCCACGTGTGAGAATCCACCCAAACGAGCACGGTGAAGAACAGGCCGGCTGCTAGGCTCGCCAGCAGCATGAACGTTAATCCGTACCTGAACAATTTTTATCACCGGGCTAATTACACCTCAAATAATTGATGATGCGCTCTCAACGGTCTTCCGCAAAGCGCTATGACCGAAATTTCTATACTATCGATACATTAAGACGGTACTCACAATCCTAAGTGACACAGACTCTTCGCGGCGTAAACGTACTCTTTGTGAAGGGGTTTGCAATCGAGCGACGTGGCCAGTCCCGACATCACCTTATTCACGGTGTTCACATCGATCAGAAGACTGTTCAGTTTAGGCTGCAACTGTTCCTCTTTGAACAGTTCTAATGCCAACGTCTTCACAATGTTCAGATTCTCCCTCATGCTGGTCAGCGCGCTCTGTCCGTCGCGCAGTCTTTGCGTGAACGGGTTGCTGCGCGTGTTCTCGCAGTGCGTGTAGTACGAGAGGACTTCCGCTGCCAGGGTGGACGGGACCGTCCTGGTCAAGTAACCGTCCGGGGACACGCATAGATCACCCAACGCCACGGAAGTCGCGAGATACAACGAAGCCATCAGCCACGAGACTATCACCGCGAAAAGACCGAATACAGAAAATCTGCAATTCACATTTTGGTACCGGATCAGACATCGGATAATCAGGACTGCTTCGAACATTAAACGGCTCGTCTTTAAATCGTCTAAAGATCCCTGCCCGTTTAATGGGGCAATTTAAGAAGTCGATAGTACGAGACCGTTTTACATTTCGCCAAACGAAGAAATACGTACGTTATGAGAACGCATCTGGAATGTCGCACGACTCCAACGACCAGGACCACACAGAGAACGAGTAACGCGCTGAGAACGGCCATGGTCACGGGCCACCTTAATTGCTCTATCTTCTCGCCCATCCCGATCGCGCCGGCGAGACTGATACCGGTCAACGGTCTTCGAATCTCGAAGCTCCGGTTCACGGCGACGTGCGTGCTCTGTTGCATATTCTGAAGAGCGGCCAACAGTTGGGCGAGCATCGTCTTGTTGCTAACAGGAGCGTCGAAGTCGTCGCCTAGCGCAGTTAATTGGGGCTGCACCTTCTTCTTCAGCGTCGCCTCGATGGTGTCGGTCTTCGCAACATAATATTTGTCTCTTCTGATTAAAGGGACAACGAGCGAGTAAACAAAAACATTTTTCCCTTCTCGAGGACTCGGATTTCTACGTAGGTTCTCGAGTACATCGACCAACGGTGAAACTGATTTCGTCGAGTTAAGCCCGTCAGGATAAAAATCTTTTAATTAAAAAATGGAATCTCCTCGGTAATGGAAAAGCGGATTATTTACCACGGGTCCCTCTTCTTTTTCATTAGGGTTGTCCGCGAACTTCTCGTTGCTATTCTTGACCCAAATTAGAACGGGGCATTTGAACGTAAAGAAAAACTAGACCGCGAACTAATTACGAATCGCGGCACTACTTCCCACGATTAAAATACGAAAGAAGGTGCGTCGGTCGAAACGGGGGAATAACGCTCGGACGGTGGAACGAACCTGATTCCGTACACCCATCAAGATACCGTCGACGTTCTTCGCGGCGGCGACCAATTGTACCAGGCCGTTGTGGACGTCGTCGTTGCCGTAGAGGCCGACGGCGACGGCCCCGCTGCAGAGCAACGCCAGGATGGCCAGCGAACACTTCAGCAGGGTTATCGACCTCCTAGGGCGCGGCTTCCGGTCGCAGCATCTCGTTACCAGATAGACCAGAAGCACCAGCAACGTCAGGATTAACCAGGCTGCGGGGATACTACCAAGTATCCCGAGGCTCTGTTAATTAAAGTTAAACGCTCGGTTATAGACGCGCATCTTTAATGAAACCCTGCATGCATAGACGCTCAGGTTCACATTTATAACCCTGCGTCACATCAAGCTGGTTTCATAAATTTCATTCAACGTAACGAACACGAGTAATTATTTCTTATTACCGTGTTTCTATCTTAAATGTTCGTAGAAAAGTTTTAAGACGAGCTCTTTAACCTACTTTTATTAATTTAGGGCATTTTTTTAGCAAGCAGAAATTCAGTAAGAAAATATTTTACGTGTACGAAACAGAGTTGTACGTAAGTAGATATCATTTTATTTGATCTTTACGCGTGGTCGTTTCTCGGTTTTCCACTACGACTCGTCTTTTTAAAGCAATTAACAGTTCGAGCGTTTCTTTCGCGGCTTAATTAAATCTGAAATCATCGAGTTGCCGCCGCTCGCTCTTTTTACTGTCCCTTTATACATTTTTTCGAAATTTCCACCGAACGCTAATGACACCCGAGGAGCTTCCGACTGGGCTTTCTAATTAATGCCTGTATCGGTGGGATGCCGTTCACGCGGCGCGGCGTCTTCTCGCGACCGGTATACCGTTAATTAAGCTTGAAACCCGGACAAAAATTCCAATAACTGCCCTAGTACACCGCGAGATACGTGTCAGTGTCGATAGAAAAAGAAACCTATTATCAGTAATCGTTACTCTTAATTGCACGGTAATACGAATCGTGGCTATCGTCAATCTGGTCGTTCGAGATCGAATTGTATTAATTAAGATAGCCGCGTTCATATTCGAGGCAAGCTTTTCGTACCACCGCAATGAGAATGCACTTATGGTGGTCGAGACTGTCGCCTTCGCGTACAGTGACTCATTGATCTCAAGTGAAATGCAGCGAGCCATTTTATTAAACAATTTTCATTTCTACAACGCTGAGGACTGCGCGTTATTTCGCCCCAGATTAATAAATTAAATTATTCCCTATTTTATTCTATTGTTCATCTGTTGTCAAATACAGTGCGATAAACTGATTCTAATGAAAGCTGAATAATTAAACGTTCTACAACAGACGGCCTCGAGCAATGGATACGTTTCATCATATTATGAATATCGCATAAGTATCGAATTACTCTTATCACCGTTATTGCATTGAACAGGCATTTTCTGGCAGCCGTGAAATTATTGTACCCTAATTACGTATTCCGTTTGTCCGAGAAAATTTGATTCCTGGCTAGTGCGTCGCGGAAAATTTGATTTTTCTGTCGCGTTACTCAAAGGCCTGCATGCCAACGGGGTCAACCACCCTCGTGGTTCGCGTGCCACTCCGTGAAACTCGCTAAATCGACCCGTGTACCTACATATCGCATTCATTATTTAATGCGGCATCGATAAACTTCGTCTCCGACTCGGCAACCCGAGAGTTTTCCATTTATACACGATTCGACGAATAACCCCGCGTTACTGTGCAACTTCCTCATTGAATTTCCTATTTAAATTAACAGATTGTGTGTATATCTTAATTAAAATACTCTTTTCAATAATAAAGACTCATACATCGACCCATTTTTGTTTTCAACATACCCAACGTTTTCGCAAATGCATTAAAACGACGGTAGGGGCTATTAAAACATTCATTTAATTAAAACCAATGTTCATTGAACCGAAACAACGATGCGAGTATTATTCTAAAACAAGAGGCGGATATTGAAAGCCCATTTCAATTGTTCCCAGCACAATACTTTGGAAAAATAATTGGCAAAAAGCGATGGAACAATACCGTATCGAGTAACTTCGAAATCCTTTAACGAGGATAGTTTACAACGTTTCGTCCTATTCGTTGACCGGATGTGAAAATCAAGAAACTCGAACGCGATTCGGTGCGAAGATCGAGACGAGGCTATTCAAAGTCGTTGAAAGAAAATTGAGTTACGAGGGAAACGATCCCAGGGAGAAGAAAAGCAGAAGCGTGTCAGGCATCGCGGGAGGCCGGAAAACGGAAGTCATCGCGGAGGAAGACAGCTCCTGAAGATATCTGCCTCCCACTTTTGTCGGATAACTTCGCCGACAGTTTCGGGGCAGTTCAAGACGAATGAAACACGCCGCGCGACCTCAGCGTGAATTTATGGAAAATCTTTCCCGCGCCCCAGCCGCGGATACGCTTTTCTTTCGAACAAACTTCCAACGGAATTTTTACCGCGGGCTCTCCCGGAAGAATCGAGTGCGCGAGACTTTCTTACGCTAACGCGCTCTCGTCTGGATAGCAACTTTCATTTTTATTCAAACGGAAGAATCTGTTGCATCCGAAAAATGTTAATTTTTCATTGATGAATTAAGCGTTGTACAAATTTTGACGGATCCTGTTCACATCCTCTCAATTCTGGATACCCACTTAATCTTATGAACAAAATCTAATAATAATTTGAAGACAGAAATTTGTAACAGGGGTTTAAGTCTTGTTAAAAAGCAGAACACATTGGGATGGAATAAACGGTATAGACCAGCCGAAATTTGAGGGCTGAATCGTGTCTAGACAGAAATTCTCTGTTTACGGAACGCGAGTTGAAGACGGTCGTTGCACCTACTGCGACGCGAGCTCTGGAATAAATCCGGAAGAGCGCTCGAGAGGAAAAAACTGAAGGAAACAGAATGAGAGAGAGAGAGAGAGAGGAAGGGAGGGACTCAAACTTCATGGGGACTCGCGCGTCTAAGGGGAGGTAGAGAGTATATAAAATCGCAAATGGATTCTCTTTCGAGACTCGCGAGCCCCTGAAAGAGTAAATACGGGCTCCCACTCTCCCCCGCAACGCTCGGAAAACGCGTTACCCGTTTTTGTTCTACTCGCGCACTCGACTCGTCCTTATCCCTCTCGACGAAACTCGCCTACGATATCCATGGGTGTCCGTAACACCCCACCGGTGTCGCTGAACTAGTACTAAAAAGATACCAGCTGTACGTTTAAAACCGAGTGACATTACAATCAGTTCATACAGTGGATAACGTTTCAAACTATTGGCTCACGTTTACCCACTTATCCCACTGCCTCTGAACGTGATCGTTTAGGGGGACATTTATTTCTGTCAGGGATAAGGAGAGACGAGCGCCTGAACGATCTTCGCTGGAATTAGCTGCCAAATCGACTTTAATACGAAAAAACCTAGCCGCGTTTACGTCGGATCCATCCGAGTTCTTTGCACCACTGATAGACTTACCTCGACTGGACGCGAACACGATTCCATCTGCTCGTGGCTTTAAAAATTCGCTAATTGCCAGAGACAGTATAATTACTTTCAGTTGCTTTTGTACGAAGAAGCATAAAAACGAAGGAAAGGCTTGAACAGAAAAATTCGAAAGATCGACGGGTGATTGCGAGAAGAAATGAATTACAGGCAATTACATTATCTTTCTCGGTAGATCTCGATCGATTCCCCTATTTGCATTAGCTTCGACGTCGGTATGGTAATTCTTTAAATTACGTAATTAAGTCGCGTCATATTACCTGCTCGTTATGCTAATCCGAGAATAGAACGAACGACAGGGTAAAAGGGTCGTCGTACCCTGGCTTTTCTCTGGTTTCTTTCGATACTTACCTTCCTCGTCTCGTCACAGTATTTATAAATCATTTTTAATGAGTACAAAATATTTACTCAAATCACGTTTGCTAAACTGATATCAATAAAGTATAATAAAATACTGGTATCAGTAAGGAATAATAAAATACGTAGTTCTAGTTCTGAAAGCAATCGCCTAATTCGTCAGAATTAGACGTTTCACTGTCGAATGAAAAAACAGCAACGGAAAGATAGGACAAAACGTCATCTTACGATTTAATTACCCAGCGGGTGTGCCGTCGAAGCGCGTCGTGAAATACATATTTTCAAGCGGCAGAAACAATGGCCGGGGACCCAATTACCAGAGCTCATGCTGCGTCGAGGGTGCTCAGACAGGCGTTTCCTCAAGGCAGCACCTTCAACCCTTCAACCGTACGTGGGGCGATGGATGTGTGCGTGTCAGCTATAACTTTCGCACTCCCGTCACCGACGACACGTATACGCGATCAGGGTTAACGAACATTTACGTACTCGATCAGTATGATTGTTTAATGGATCCGAGCTCCGTTCCCGATATTAACTCGATTTAAAAAAACGGCCCAAGGCTCGACCATCGATCATAGTTAATGGTAATCCGTTATTTGGTTTCGTTACGCGGTTCGAGTTAAACTAATTCCGTGTTGGTTCGATTCTAGGGGTAACGGACGATGGGAACAATGGGTAAAGCATCGTGTAAACGGGGATTTATCCGAGGAAACAGAGAGAAAAAGTTAAGCAGACCGAGAGAAACGGAAAAACGAAATATCCACCGGTTGACTGAACCAGAATAAGCGGCGATGAAACGGTGGGAGAGGGAAAAATAGGGAGCCACGGACAAAGGGGTAACCCAAGAAAAACTTGATAAGAGAAACCACGGGTTTTTCTAAAAAATGATTGAAAGCTTAAATCCCCATTGATATTATCATTATAATCCAAGGAATGTAATAAAGTAACTTGCATGTTCAATAAAAAAAGGAATTGTTCTATTTTCATTTTCCTTATCTAATATCTATTGCATGGATCAAAAGATTTTTGTGATATTGAAAACAAATGACAACGATTTATGCAGATGAACTACATATTCGGAAACACGTGTTAACTGGTTGCACACCTGCCGTCAGGATAACTGGAGAACGTATCGACGAAAAAAAAAACGGTGCACGCCTTTTCCCAGGACACATTCTCGAAAACGGACAACAATCGGATCGCCCGAGAGGAACGAGATACGTCTCCGTCTTGGTTCCGTAGTAATAAGTTGCCGTGTGCTCCTCGACTCGACATCCGCAATGAAAGACGTTGCGAGATCGTGCTTCTCGTCGAGAGCTACGAGAAGCACGATGCTTTTCGAGTGGTGGAGTGGGTGATCGGTAACGGAGGAGGAAAGGAGTGCATACTATACCGCGTTCAATTTCGCTAGCGATGGCAAGCGGTTCCCATCGATATTGCCTTTCTACATTACGTAACTACTACTCAAAATCTAAAGAAGAACATCGCGATATTACCGTGCCGTCGTATTCAGATATTCCTCAAGTCTGAGTAGATCGAATAAATGATACAGACAGGATTGAAATGATCTAATCGCTACGATTCGTCTTCAATTCGAAATTTATAAAAAGACATTATCATGGCATTGCATTGTTATTCAGATATTTGCAAGACGATCAAGTGAGAATGAAGGAGAATTGATTAAGGACAAGTCGTTGGAAACATTCTAACTGATGGAATTGGGGTTTAAGCCGGTGAGCTCCTCGAGGGATATAATTGGCATGCAACGGAAGCGACGGAGAGCAATTCGGTGATTGTCGGGTTGGAAATATCGAGTGGCTGACTCGACTCGGTATTCGAAGTGTCTTGAGCCCATCGCTAGTTAGCGGTCTGACGTTTCGAGCCCGTTAAAGCCCACACGTTGCCCCCAGGCGTATTATACGAAAGCCTTTGTGCATTGTTTGAGCTTTCCCGAGCCATTGTGCTTTCCAGTTACACACAGCTTGGATTCTCTTCGCACTACCGTGGCATCCAGCTGCCTTACTCTTCGTCCTTTTCCTCCTCGTTCCTCATTTCTCTTCTCTCTCGTCTCTTTTTTTCTACCGTACGAATTCCCGATCCAAGAGCTTCTGTCCCGGACCGCGGCAAGAACAGTCGAGAGAATGTATTGCGACGTCTGGGAAATCTTGAGAAAAGTTCTCTCAAATCGATGGTTCGTTATTTCCCAAATTCTTAACGTCATGAAAGTTGTCGGAAGATATCGTTTAACGATAATGATTCTTTTCTTGCATTATGGTTTTATAACAGATCGCAGGTGTCCTATTTTTCTGATTGAAGCAATTGACCGTGATGAAAGGTTTTCGTTCCGGGATAGAGGAAGCTTGTAAAAGGCAGAGTGACACTCCAACGTCTTCGATCGGATAATACGAGAGCGCAAGGTGATTCACTTTGGTGGACGCAGGTGCGATGATCGATAAAATACCCGAGACGAAGAAAGAGAGAGAGAACGAGGAAACGGTGTTCGATGACTCGAGTACTGTGTAATTTCACCTTGCCTCCGTTAATTATCGCGACTCGAGGAAACGTGTTTGGTCCTCGAATCGAACGTAATACGTCCCTACCGGTTTTTACACGCGCTAATTAATCACGCAGATGAACGGCTTAACGACAAGGGAAATAATAAAACTCGTCGGTTTCATTGATACGATCGACGTCGCATTTTTTATTTCGTCGATTTAGGATCGAGCGGTTTTCAAAGTCACAAAGCATTTAATCACATTCTAAGAGAATATCGACAATTTCATTTAAAAAATCCTTTCTTTAAATCCTTTTCACGAAGAATATCTGAGCAAACAAACAGCCGCCATTCGTTTTGTAAACGAATTGAACGCGTGCATCTCCTTCGAGAAACATTGCCAAAGAATTCCTTAGGGAGACTTGGACGGGGTCGAGGGGATATATTATCAAAGATCAATGAGAAAGCTTTGTACACTGGCCAAACGGAATCGAGTCCGGATTGCTTTTGGGTATCGACGTAACCAGTGCGTCGCGACCCTGTTAACCACGCGGTGTACGCGATTTATTTCGCTGACCCAGTCGAAAGCTTATCCGTGCGTCACTGACGCAACTCACGGAATCGATGAACAATTGCTAAATCGCCGCGGATTTTCAATTTTCAATCGGCGATGTTAACACAAATTTAAGCTGTGTTCCATATGTTATAATCGTATTTGTGTCTCGTATATCACAACTGTACGTGCGATTTGTATATCATAATTGTAGATCCGTTTTGCATGTTACAATTGTATTACTATGAAAGATTTGTATTTACCTCGAGATAGATTTCGGAATGTGGATTAAATGTGTTGTTGACCGAGTGAAGAGAGACGTTGAGGTGCGGCAGGCTGTGGAAGACCCTAGCTAGCTGCGGTACCGTGTACTGTTCGGGAAGCTGCTGACCGCCCGCCATTTTGGAGAACCCTTGTCTGCCGAAAACCCCGTTGAAGAGCCCCTCCTACTCGTCAAGACATGCTACGAGCCCTGCAACAGATGTGTCAATGGGTTAACAACTGCTCCCTCCAATCCCACTTTCATCTGGCTCGTTACAAAACAAGCTATTTCTTTTGTAGCGCGGGCTCTAATTTTGGAGGTAAAATCACGATTATATATTACATGATCGTGGGTTAAACCAGACTCAATTGTTATTGGTATGTAGCTGTAGTTGTCAGATACAGAGAAGGTTCTATATAAATTCCTTCTAACTCCATTCGTTAAGTAGTAATTAATGATGGATGTAATAATTAATCGATTACTCCTGAAGTATTTGAGATAGAAGAAAATTATATACGACCTTCTTTGCAGGCAATAGTAGTACCTACAACTTTTATTTGAAACATTTGTCGAAATTCCGAGAAACAAAATTTTTATTTTTCAACTTTTTTGTAATGCCTACAACTTTTGTATAAAAATTTTTTCACTGGAGTCAATAATTGATTAATAAATGTTGTACGATTTTGTCATCTGGAAGAGTCAATTATTAGTATACTTTTTGACAGAGTACTGTTCTTTCTTATGCTGTCCCGAACGTAAAGCTGATTATAAACTTCGGAAGCTTTACGTCCGGAGACAAAATGAATCAGCGTTCGAGGCATACGCGCATGGAAGCCTTTTACAATGATCGGATTGTTTGATTTGTCGCAGACAATTAAGCCGGCGACCGCTCAAAAAGGTGAATCCAATTCGGTCTGAATGGCGTTTAGTTTCGAACCGAATCGAGCCGACTCTCGACGCAGTTTAATCTTTGTCGGTGTCGGGGATACGTTGACGTCGATGATGCCCTCTCTTTATCCGTTCGCCTCTCTGTCTCTCGCCAACGAAACGCTTTGCCGGGCCCTGATTCAATTACGCTCGAAGCGCCGTTGTGGAAGCAACGAGCGCTTAATTAATGAAATCTGTGCCAGCTGCTCTGTTCCGCTTCTCGTCGGCGAGGACACGTGCCACTTCCGGAAGTATCGCGACGTTCCTTTCTTTCGTACAATCATTATACCCAACGCGAATGGTCATCCTTTTAATTTCATACAGTATTGAACAGAGAGCTAGCGTTCCGTAGAGAATACGGGATGCGAAACGGATTGGCGAATCATGAGAGGTACAGAGAAATCTTTGATTAGACGGCCCGCGTGAAACTCGATTTACATAACCGCCACGGATGCCTCCCTCCCTTTCGACAGCCACACCCAACCGCGCACCCTTTATGCCCATCGAATTCGACGGACGCCGAAATACAATTTTCTCCGGTTCACGAAAGGCATCCCATCGAATTTTGCAATTGAGATGAAAGCCTTCTTCACGGATCGAAGATATCCACCTGGTGAATGGATTCAGTATCGACTAACGCTTTCAGGCGATTGATGGTTTCCGGTAAAATCTTACAATTAGAGCCAACCGGTTGCAACTCTTACCTGCACGGCATTGCGATCTTCTCTCATACAGAATGCATTTATAAAAAAAAAAAAGAACATGTCGCAGATATAAAGAATGTACATAAAAGCCGCATGAATATCGAAATACTTGAATGGAAGCTCTATAAATGTTTTGCTTTGCATAAAAGTCTGACGACGAGAGCGTTTAAATTGAGAATACGCAGAGGAGCTACTAGGGTATCTCGAGAGACCGCGGCAGAAGATTAACGCGTTATTCGAGATTAGAATCTAGCGTGGATACGAGTCTGAACCTGCATTTATTCGATACCCCGTTCACGACGTAAAATCATTTCCTTCGTTCATTGGATCGTTGTAATCGATCGCGCCTGGCTCTTCCTACTTTCACCGTCTTTCTTATCTTTTGGTAATAAATAAAACGTCCGACTTAAACCAGATCGATCGCTTCCCGGAGAACCCGAGGATCTTAGAAATTATAGTACATTAACCTTCTTGACGCGCGTTAAACTATCGTTATTATCGCTGTAATAAAGTATCTGCACGATTTTATTAAGCCGCCTTATAAGTGTGAAACTTTAAAACATCAAATTTTTTTTTGCACTCTTCGAAAGTTTATACCTTTAAAAATGTCATACAAAAATTTTATAGTCGGATCTCAACTTTTTTTCGAGTGGCAGCCTTCTAATAGTNACACGAAGCTAAAACCTGGTTTTATAAAATATTGTACAGCAGGTTTTATACAAATATTAGTATAGATTTTCATATAAAGGACTAGGCAGAATGACATGGGTATAAGCGAGGTAATCCGTAAAAAAAAACGAGTTTGAAAATCCTATGGATAGATACACTGTTATGTACATAAGCCCGTTTTATACGTTATAAACCTGATATTAAAAATGTATTTTTGGAATAATAAAAATCCGAAAAAAGCGAAATCCGTTTGCATGCCCGTTCACTGTGTCGTTGCCAGAATAACAAACGGGGTCCCGGCGAGGCGCAGGCATCTTGAACTAAACGGAGGAGGAAAAGAAACGTAGGGAGGGCAAGAGAGTTCGGGGTCCATTCTCGAACTTCCTCCGAGAACGCGGGCGAACACCGTGGGAAAAGATCAGCTGCCGCGTGTGCCGGTTTTAAACTACGTTACACCTGGTTCGCAGCCTTCCTATTGCATCGAGGTTCATCGTAAAAACCAGCGGAATTTCACTTTCAATATTTTATCGATTAATTTATTAATAAATTTGAAACATTTTCAAAAATGTATGAAATTCAATGAACAGTAGACGTAGACGAGAACGGAATTTGTTTTGGAATAAACCAGAACCGAACACCTGTACCCGTTTCTCACGCGGTTTATCTTGGCAAACATTTGATAAGCGTTAAGGGCGATCCTGCATGCTTTCCGCGTCTGGGTGAAAAAAGGTCTGACACTTGGAATTGCGGGGTTCGGTTATGGCCTCGAGGGTAACGGCCGTTCGAAGGAAGAGAGCCCGCGAGTTATTACGGCAATCATAGTCGTTATTGTGACGTTGCTCTTTCGTGGTTCCCAGCTGGCTCGAGTACGAATGAGATTCCTCGGATCTAGGATCGCGAGAACGAGTGCACTCCCGTTCTGACCCGGTGCATTCCGCGGAGATCCGCCACGCCACTGAAATAACCTTGCGCCTTATCGCATAATTACTTCAACGGATTCCATCCAGATCCGACGAGATTCCGCGAAGACCGGCCGTCAAACGACTGCCGTGATACTCGCGTAAAAATTCAGATTGCACGGTCTTAAAAGCGTTTAAGATTTTCCAAGAAGCTGCGTGTACGCGAGATCAACTCTGACCAATGAACCTCTCAGATGTTTGCGGAAATTGATTGACGACAAATATTGTCAGGGATCAGGAATCACACGTGTCTGTTGACACAGCCAGATTGACTGTTCTGACAATCGCACCTGCGACCACGTTTAACGGAAGAAACAGACTTAACGAGACTCAACAGCAAGCGAGTTTCAACCACTGTAAATACCTCGGTGGGATTATTAACAAGGAGAACGAGGTCCGACTCTCAAGTCTAAATTTTTGATTCGCCGTCAGTTAAACTCACGCAGCGCGGTTGCATTAGCAAACAAGACTGAAATTGTTGCAGGAATCACCTCGGCTCCGCTGGGAGTCAGAAGCCCGGTGTTACGATATCTACGGACTGGATTAAGGCTCGCTGGGTACAATGGTGATTAACATTTATGGCCGGTGTCCCCTACCGATCCACGAAAGAGTAACACGTCATCGTTTGCGTGTAAGCGCGACGGAAACTAGACTACCCGGACCCACTGCTCATCCCATCTATCCTTTCCCCACCGTCCCGAGGATACAGACTGAGCAAATGAGGACTATCAGGTTGATATAGAAACGATCGTCGTCCTTCATACATTTATAATATTTTATATGGCGTGATGAACGTTTTGTATATTTATACGAATAATGTACGAACAACAGAATTGTACTTTATGAAACGAAAATTAATTTTCCTGAACTGTAATACTAAATAATTTCAAGAGGTACTTTGTATTGACTCAGCCTGTATAATTCAGAGGATTGAGTCTCGTATTCCTATTTCGTGGAAACCACATTATTAATAACTGTTAATTGCCCCCGGGCTGAAGTGGTTTTCCGTAACCACCGAACAATATTTTTCCATTTTCGGTGAAATCACAAGTAACCGAGTTCTGATGGGAGCAGAATGATCATTCGGAAGCTAAATGGAATCTATTCAGCGCATGGTTGAAGAAAAACGATGGCAATTATGTCAGACCGATTCGGTGACTGTCCACCACTTCCTTCGTTCTAGTTCTATTCTCCTACAGAATAAACCAATTTAAAATAGGCAATTGTCTCGTGAAAGTTTAATCTTCCTCCGAAAGAATTTTCGTAATCTGTTAGATACGAAATTCAAATGAAAGTACCTTCCTTTGCTCTGCTTCTATTCTCGTAGAAAATAAAACATAACAGTTGCCTTGTGAAACTCGAATGCCCCTTTTAAGGATGTATTGGCTATACAGTCAATCCCAAAAGTTTATGTATTTTAGAAAAACGCATTTCCTATAATTAAAAAGAAATCAGACATCGGAAGAATAA